CTTATTTATTCTTTCAGCTCCTCATGCCAGGGAGGCAATACAATGTTTATATGAATCTAATTTATTTCACTTATGAGCAGGGTCTGGAGTTATCACCATTTACCTATAGCTGTTTCAAGTTTATCCTTCTTTATGGATGAATAATGCCTCTATTTTTTTGTTGTTTTTACAAAGGCCACATATGTTTTTCTATTTTTATTCATAGGCATTTGGGTGTTTCCCATATTTAAGTATGACAAATATTCCTGCTATAAACATGGGTGCACATATATTGCTGTGATATGATGTTTTAATATTCTGGGAAGATAACTAGAAGGAAAATAGCTGGGTTGAATGAAATTCTAATACCAATTTTTTGAGGACTCTCCCTACTGGTTTCCCAGGTGGTTATACCAGTTTACATTTGCACCAACAGTTGTGAAGTGATCGTCTTTCACAGAGCCCATTCATCATCTGTTATTGATTGATTTCTTGGTGAAAGTCATTCCTTCTGGAGTTAGATGGGATCTCAGTGTTGATTTAATTTGCTTCTCTGGAGTGAGCAATGATTTTAAACATCTTTTCATATTTTGTTTTATTTAAATTTCTTCAACTGAGAAGTCTGTATTCATCTCAGATGCCCATTTTGTATTGGATCTTGGAATTTGGGATGTGTGATGATTTTTTTCTTTATGTTTCCTCAGAAGAATTTCATTATCTGAGAGACCTGGCTATATATTTTTTACTCTGTAATTTGTCTCTGTCTCTATTTCTGATTTTTTTTTGTTAAAAAGCTTTGTAGCAAGATGATGTCCCAGTTCAAAACAGTAAAAGTTAAAGCACGTGATGCACGCCAGGAGATCAGTGTTGAGAAATAGCCATCTGTACTCCATTAACGTGCTTTCCTACCATCAGAATATTATTGCAACTAAATGTTTTGAAGATGACAGAAAACATGCATCCATCAGTTCCCTTAGACATGATGCTGTGTCAAGCATGTGCCCTGGACCTGTCTTCATGGCTTTCATGCAGGTTTCTTTTCTTTTCCTGCCCTCAGATTTCTCAACTACTCATATGGTCTGTGTTCATACCTACTCCTGGTCATGATTATGCCAGCCTAATCTAATGGAATTCTTTCAGTGATGCCTATCTCAGAGTAAAAACTGAAGTTGATATTTCTAGTTTTCCTAACCTGATACAAAATTTGTTAATATTGGGTATATACTCTCAGGTCTTTGTTTTCAGATATTTATTTTTCATCTTTTAGAAATTGGATCTATACTGCAGTCCCAAAACAAGAACATTTTCAGCCATAACCTAAGAATAAAGCTTAATGCTGTTTCCAGACCACCAAAGTGCATGAATTTCTTTTTTAAATTTTTGTGTTCTTGATATTATATTTGAGAAATCTTTGTCTATCCAAAATTACAAAG